AAGGTTCCCCCCGTGGTAAGGGAGGGGCTGGGGCAAGTTGCTCATCTGGCAACTCCTGCCACTTGTCTGGGAGGGCACTGGGGGGAGGTCCCCATATCTGCGCAGGGTGAAGCAGGCAGGGCTGCACCGGGAGTGGGTACTATGCCCTCCTGCCACTCACCCAGCCAGGACAGGATGGGGCTGCTGAGCTGCCTCCAGACACGTTGTGTGCAGTGGTAGGAGCCATCCCCCCACAAATGAGCCATTGCTTCATTCTGTGCCCGCCCTGCTCCAGCTGGGCGAGCAGTGGCAGGGCGTGGGGCAGGGGGGGGAGATGGGCCAGGGTCAGGGCCAGGGATGCACCAGGCTGCACTCCAGGTGGGTGGCAGGGCCTTTGGGAGCAGGGCTCATAGCCTCCGTTCCAGCAGCCAAACTGCCCTATCATCTGTCCCGATCTGGCGGTACATGCCCCCCCATGGACCAAGGCAGGATGGGCAAGAGATAGAGCCACAGCTTGGTGGAGGGTTGCTCCTACTGCTGTGAGCCAGTTGTCTGGATGCAGTGCAGTGGCCCTGTCCCACATCCCATCCCACCCTGGCTGGGCAAGTGGTAGGAGGACATAGCCCCTGCTGCCAGTGCAGCCCTGGCCCTGTCCACTCTGCCCCACACAGATGTGGGACACACCCTGCCCCCATGCCCTCCTGGATGAGCAGCAGGAGCTGCCTGACTAGCAATTTGCCCCAGCCCCTCCCTCACTCTGGGGGGCCTTGATCTGCCCCCCCCACACCCTTCTCTTCCACACCAGACTTACCAGATGGACACAGCTATATCGAGCATCATAAAGGAATCAAGCCCCCATTTATAACATGGTTCCCATGGGAAACTGCCTCAGTGGGCCCAGCACCCCAAAAACTTTTACAGTTGTCCCAGCTTGGAGAGCTCACACTGTAGCCCCTAGATGTGCTTTACCACAAGAGGGACCTACCAGAAGCCTTTTATGGCAATAGGATGGGCCAAGTAATGAAGGTCAGAGCTTGCCTGAAGGCACTCTGGGGTGTACTAAGCATGCTCACCTCCTCCCCAGAGCCTCAGTAGGGAAGGCTCTTTCCCATCTGATTGAAAGGCAATTAAGCCCTCATCTCTCAGGGGAAAGTACATCCAGGAAGTAATTTGACCATCTCTGTCTTTACATCAATAGGCAGGGAAGGGAAGATCCAACAGTTCAGGTCAAAGATTAAAGGCCAGACATGCCCAACCCCAACATTTGTTTCCTTTCAGCAGAAATCTGTCCCGTCTCTTAAATCCTGCCCTTTGCACATCTCATCAGAGAGGGGAAGGGCAGTCCCAGCTAGACATGCTCATTCAGAAATACCTTGCTGCTACAATTCCAAAAGCAGCTCAACAGACAAGGAATGAACTCCTTATTAGATAGGATGGTACAGCTATGAGATGGCTAGTGGTTCGGTCTCAGACCTGTTCTGGGAGGTTAGGCAAGTCACAAAACCTCTCCAGGCCTGTTTCTTCCATTCTAAACTACATGACTTAATAGCACTTGAAGACACCTGGATGGAGAGCATCATCATTAAAATGCCAATCAACATTGTAAGGAGGTTACCTAGCCTGCTGGCTTCTACAGGTATGCTTTTACTTCCTCAGCCAGTCCTCTGGTAACTCTGTCTTTAGGTAACAAAGATGACAAAAAATACTTCTGCCTGGTCCCAGGCACTTGCAGAGGAGCTCTTTGGCTCTGGCTTCCAACATAAAATTGCCTACAAGGGGAGCTTCCAACATAAGTTGCTACAAAGGGGAGCAGGCAGTTATATTCACACCTTACTTCCTCCTCTCATGCTTACCTGTCTGGGAACTTACTGAAGTTCCTAACACAATGGTTCTCAACCTTTTTAGACTCAAAGCACCCTTTCATCACTTTTGTGAACTGAGTGGCACCCCATTTCAAAAACAAGTGTATGTATAGCAGTGACTACCCCCTTGCAGAACAACCAGGCAATAGGGGCAAGAGAAACACCAGACAAGGACAAGCCTGAGTTTATCTTCTGAGCTTCTCTCTTACCCTTCAAAGGATCCCAAAGACACACCAGTTGAGAACCACCATCGCAGCCACCCTCTCAACTATCCAAGAACCCAGCAGCTGAGCGCTCTCAACTGGGCCGTTTCCTCTTAAAGGAACAGACCTGCCTATTACAAACTGTTTTAATTACTCCGTACATTGGCAGAGAGCTAGTTGGGACATCCACTAGACAATCAGAACATTTTCTCCCTGTGCAAGTCCTTGCACGCTTTGCAATATGATCTTCCTCAAGCCAACAGTCAAATTTCAACCTGTTCTCATCTGTTCAGTACTGCCAAGATTACATCCTTAAATACAAGGAAACACATGCCTCCCTACACAGAGCATTGCACCTAGAGCCTCTTTGTTCCCTGGTTTCAAATGGCTAAAAGTGCGATTAAGCAGTAAGAGGACACACCACACACCTCTGTTTAGAGAAAGATACAGTACAAGTTTCAGATCTTACATCAAACCATTTCAAAAAGAGAGGAATCAGAGACATCTGAAGCCAAATTCACTTCTAGTCCCTTCCTATGGGGTCAGAAAGAAGAGAGTTAACCCTTTCTCTAAGATGAAGTTACTACACAGTGACAAAGGGAGCAAATATACAACGCATGAGCTCCTCTACATTACCTCTTACATGGACACTGTTCACAGATTGCTTTTGCATTAGGGGTCTTTATTTGTAAAAGCAGAACTCACTCACACTTAGTGAGGACACCATGGAGGACATCTCTATAGGGGGGTGTCAGGCAGAGCTGCTATTGTGTTGTCAGGTCACAGTGCAGAAGCTTCCCTAGGCAAGCAAACCACATTTTTTTTTTTTGGCAACAGTAGTCATTATCAATCCAGATTAAGATTATGCTGTGTTAGAAAAAGCGCCACTGTGGTTGCATCACAGTTCTCAGAAGTATATGGGTTATTGTTCCCCTTTTCATACCCCCACCCTTTTGTAACCAGTTTCTAGTTCAGAGTAGCAATGCTGAATCTAGATTACCAGTTTTCAGACTACCTGAAGTCACCAAACCCTTTCATACCACTTACTGCAAAACCCCTACCCCAGCTCTGTTGGCCAGGTTGGCCAACACAACCTGACCCAGCAATAGCAGTGCATCACCTCCCAGCTCCTTACCCCCATGACCCATCACAGACCCCAATGGAACAGTTCAAAAACCGCTGCTCTAGATTAAGGTTACAGCCTCCTGGAATAAGTGCTTGCATTAATTTCATTGTTGTTCTTAGAGTTGCATCTCTGGGCTTACAGATGTGCAGCTCTTGCAAATGCAAGACAATTACACACAGACAATGCCAAGCAGAAGACACTGATCAAAACAGCTGCAGTACAGTTAACAAGGACTTGTACTCAAGTTAACATTTACTTGTTGAAGCAAATCCTCTAGTAGAGCATCTCACAAATGCTAAGCAATGCTCTGGAGTCTGGAGAGTTAGGCTGATGTGACAGTGTTCAGGCAGAGCAGTCTTCACCTTACTTTAGATAGGTTCAGATATCTTCATTTAAAAAAAAAAGGAAGACTTTATAACAAATCAAGAACATGCTAAATGCAGTGTCCTTCACTCCTTGCAAACACCACTCCTGTTCTGTATATGATTCTTCTAGGTGCCATGGGAAATAAATAGACTATTTATATACCTACATACCTTTCATTCAAAACATCTCATTATTTAGGCTCCACACAGACTTCTTGATAGGAAGCACATTGGTGAAAGCAGCTGTAAATAGATGATCACAAATGTCTGTTTCCACAGCAACCCTGGTCTCCCTACTCCCCCCCCACCCCACTTCTATTGTGATAGGGGAAAACCAAAATGAAAGTAGAAGGGGAGAGTACAAATGCGGGCTGGATCCCAGCAAATATCAGTCCGTCCAGAATCTGCACAAGTGCAACATCATGTGAGAAATATGGATAATATTTAGGGCAAGGCCTGGGGAATTTTTGTAGTTTCCATGGAAACAGTGGGGAGGAAGGAAGGAGGAAAGGAGAGAGAAAGAGAGAGAGCATGTGCATGACACAAAGGGAGTCAACAGATAAGCAGGAAGATTCTCGTTG